GGAAGAGTCACTCTATAACCTTTTAATCAATCTCTTTTGTGCTTCTGTTGATTACAACTAAGAGCCTGGCTGAGTTGCAACTCTCCTGGCCCCTGGAGTAGGTGATACACCAACCTACATTCATTCTCTTAACAAAGGGCCAGATGCCATTTCCGTTGGCATGGAGGTCTCCTGTGGGCCTCCCCTGAAACCTTCTATTCCATCCATCATTCATTCCCTCCGGGGATGCCCTCCTACCCACACACCTCTTGCCGCATACCCCCCCTGAATTATAGTTGCTTGTTTCTTCCTCCTCTGCTTGGACAGATTTCTTTGAGGTTAGCCATTGGCTCTTTCACTTCTGCGTTTCCAGCAGTTTGGGTTGACAGCATCCAGCACAGGAGAGGTGCTAAAGGGAAGTTTGTCATGGATAGGAAGGAATGCTCCAATTTGCCTTCTGAGAATCAGGAATCAGAAACAGGTGCTATGGGGCGGCTGCGTCTAAAATAGATCTCGGTGGATGGCAGGGACTTCAACAAGCAGAATTGGTTGGGATCATCCTGCCCATATTGATGTATATTCTGCTTTTTAAAAATTATCATAACCCTCTGCATTTTTCCATCTCCGTAATGTGCCGTAGGGGACATTCTCAGTTGCCTAACAACACTTCCCTCACCCTTCTGTTTTTCAGGTGTGCTTGGTGACGTCTCAGGGAAGGTGGTCCCTTCCCACAGCCACAAGGAGATGAGTCCTCATTGCTCCAAACCAGGGGTTGACAAACTACAGCCTGCTAGCCAAATCTGGCCTGCGCCTGTGTTTGTATGGCCTCATACCATACAAAATGCTTTTTACACCTTTAATTCACTGGAAAAGGAACAAAAACCAATGCTTTGTAAGAGGTAAAAAATACATGAAATTCAAATTTCAGTGTCCACAGTGACACTGGAACACAGGCACATGTATTTGTTTCCGGTGTCTCTAGCTGCTTTGGCTCTACAACAGCAGAGCTGACTAGATGTGACAGGGACCCCATGCCCTGCAAAGCCTGAAATATTTACTGGCTGGTCCTCTTCAGAAGAACATTGCTGACCCTATTCTCAAGCGATCATGCTAACACCAGTCTCCTCTGAGTGTTGATTTTTGGGAGGAGTATGAGACCCATTTCTAGGCCAATGAAACACAAGGGGAAGCCTGACAGAGGGCTGCGGGAAAGATTGTTTTCTCTGATGACAGGAAGGTATGTGAGCGTGCTTCCTTCCTGCCTTTGGATGTTGCATGTGCAGATGTGATAGGCAGAGCTGTGGCAGCCATCTTGTAGTCATGAGGGAAAGGCTAAAAGACTTACAGAGAAGCTGCCCCAGATACTCTTGAGCTGTTACATTAACCGGCTCTGGAACCTCCTACTTCTACAATTTTTAAATTCTAGAATTTTTAAATTCTAGAATTAAAATTTCTAATCAGCAGCCAAGAACATTTAATGGGAACTAAAATTGCATAATCAAAAGGAAGTTTTCTTCTTTCTTATGTGTTTTTGTTCGTTTGTTTTTTCCAGATGGAGTTTCGCTCTTGTTGCCCAGGCTGGAGTGCAATGGTGCGATCTCAGCTCACTGTAACCTTGGCCTCCCAGGTTCAAGCGATTCTCCTGCCTCAGCCTTCCATGGAGCTGGGATTACAGGCACCTGCCAACATGCCCAGCTAATTTTTTTGGTATTTTTAGTAGAGACAGGGTTTCACCATGTTGGCCAGGCTGGTCTTGAACTCCTGAACTCAGGTGATCCACCAGCCTGGGCCTCCCAAAGTGCTGGGATTATAGGTGTGAGCCACCATGCCGGGCCCCTCTTCTTTCTTATTAACTAAAAATATATTTGAGTCAGAGATGTTTTATGCTTTTGATCTATTTGCAAACCCAATTAACTCACTTTGTTAAAACATGCCCCACGTGGTGTCAGGACCAGGGATACATTTTGTGCAATTATTTCTCCTTTTAGTGTCATTAACCAATGCATTACGAAATTCTGTAGAATAGCAAATGCTCGCTTTTCCATGCAGCCATTCTGTCTGTCCTCTCACCTCTGACGCACATCACACCTGCCACCCATCACAAGGCCAGCTGCATTGAAGTCTGACTTGTGCAATCCCCAGTGTAGCAAACAGTCACCTGGAGCAGAGAGGTCAGTGTGTTGACGTGTTTGCTGGTTGGAGCCTACATGTAAAATACTACTGAGTTGACCTACCTCTACAGAGAACAGTGATCCATGTCCCTAAAATGCTGTCCTCAAGAGGCCATAGGATCCCTAGGAAATTACACTCAGCACAAAGTTTGCAAGGACACTTTCTTGATTCAGTGCCAACCAGGTGATTTTGCAATCAGTTCTCTGAGCATCTGAGAGACAGGAAGCATTTTAACATCAATATCTTAATTTCTCTCTTCCTAAAATAAAGACAGCAGAAAGAGCACTGTTGTGGGGGATTTTAAGCTGCCGAGGTGATTTTATAAAATACTGTGGAAGGAGATCTATCCCGGAAGAAAGAACTTCCAGTTCCTGCAGCTCTCTTGCTTTTAATAAGAATCTCTGTGAGGGAGCATGGCACAGCGTAGCGGCTGAGCGCCTGACCTTCCGAGTTGGAGAGAACTTTACTGAGTCCCTGTTCTGCTATTCGCACCTGTGTAACTTTGGGGAGTGACTTGGCCTCTCCAAGTCTTGGTTTCTCCCTCATCCTCATTCTTCCCGGCCATTGGGCTAGGCACGGGGACACAGCAAGTAAGTTGGACAGTGGACAAATGGATGAGAGTTTGTGCAAAAAAAAAGAGGTAACTTTGTAGATTAGGAATTAAAAATCTGAGCAAAATTCAGATTGTTTCTTATAGAAAAAATTGAGGCTGACAGTTGCACAGGGGAGGCGTGGAGAGGAGAAATGTGGAAGGCTTGGAAGTGATAAGAGTTTGGAACAGCCCTTGTGAGGACAGGAGAGGAAGGGGCTCAAGGAAGATAAGACAAAGCACTAGGCTGCGGCCCAATGGCTGGGGGAAAGTACCAAGCGCCCTGCACAGTGGATTCTTCTAACAGGCTGAGCACAGGGGTTTCAGAGGAGTCAGTAATGCAGTCATGCTGTAGCTGGGGTTTACGAAAGGTTAAGTGACTCACTAAAGGTCACACAGGGACATTTACACAAACATCCTGACTTTCTAATCTGTAACAGGGTCTATCCTTTTTTGTTGTTTTTTGAGACAGGGTCTTGGTCAGTCATTCAGGCTGGAGTGCAATGGTGTGAACACCGCACACTGCAGCCTCAACCTCCCAGACTCAAGTGATCCTCCTACCTCGGCCTCCCAGTGTTGGGATTACAGGCATGAGCCACCACACCCAGCCAAGTCTGTCCTTAATCAGGGTTCTTTTGGGGCTCATTTTCTTAAACTGCAAAAGCCACTGGACCAGGTGATATTGCCAACCCCTCTAGGCTGCTGTAACTGTAGTTTTGGCTCCTGGATCTGCTTCCAATTAGTTACGTTCCCTGTCACTTTGGATAAGTCATCCCAGCTCCATGGCTTGTTTCTGGGACTCAATTATGGTCCAGAAGCCTGAGCTCTAAAGTGCTGGATCTGATGAGTGCCCATTTACCAGGTACTCTGATCCCATCATGGCATCTGCTACAGCCTGGGAGGTCTATTCAGGTGTGCATTCATGTTAAGCACTATTACCAATCAAATCACTTAAATTACATAGGTAATAATCCAACAGCACATCCAAACAAGGCTGAAAGTTGTAAAAGAAAATTACATCTCGTGTGTGTGTGTGTGTGTGTGTGTGTGTGTGTGCTTGTGTGTGTGTTTAAGAGACAAGATCTCTCTCTGTCACCCAGGCTGGAGTGCAACCGTGCCAACATAGCTCACCATGGCCTCAAATTCCTGGCCTCAAGTGATCCTCCTACCTTGGCCTCCCAAGTAGCTAGGACTATAGATATGTGTCACCACGCCCTGTTTTAAGGAAGAAAATTGTGTTGAAAATGAAAATCAATACATAAAGGCTGAACCAAAGCAATGGGAAGGTGGTGGCTGTGTGTTATGTTGAGGGGCTGTCTCAAGTAGAACAAGACTCTTTTGACCCTTTGTCTTAGGGCATTAAAGAAAATTACTCTGGGCAGGCCGGGCGCCGTGGCTCACGCCTGTAATCCCAGCACTTTGGGAGGCCAAGGCAGGCGGATCACAAGGTCAGCAGATCGAGGCCATCCTGGCTGACATGGTGAAACCCTGTCTCTACTAAAAATATAAAAAATTAGCCAGGCGTGGTGGCGGGCGCCTGTGGTCCCAGCTACTTGGGAGGCTGAGGCAGGAGAATGGCGTGAACCCGGGAGGCGGAGCTTGCAGTGAGCCGAAATGGCGCCACCGCACTCCAGCCTGGGCGACAGAGCCAGATTGTGTCAAAAAAGAAAGGAAAGAAAGAAAGAAACAGAAAAGAAAAGAAAAGAAAATTACTCTAGGCAAACAACAGCTTCCTTGAATACTTTCACTTGTTTAATAAAATGCCAGAGAACCACAGATAGAACCTATAATTCCTTAGGGACTACAAGATCAGAGCTGACAGAGTTACGGTTTTCATCAGTGCACTTACAGAAATGGCATCAGATGGATTTCCTTTGGAGAAGGGGATTGGCAAGTGGCTTTTTTTTTTTTTAACTGGTAATAAAATAATCTACTTTCCATCTTTACAATACCAGTATTTTCATACTTAATTATAATTTTAACTTACGGCCTTGAATCCCGAGTATAATTTTTTACTCAAATATAAGTTATAATTAAGGTATTGGCCGCCCAACAAGATCAAATTAACTAAAAACTTAAGTTCTCCCAATCACTGACCTTCCCAGCCCCTAGTCCTCATCCCCAGCCCAGCGGACTATCTGGGGTCCAGCCTCAGAGAGGGTCTCGGGGAGCCCAGAGGCAAGAAAGCACCCGGAGACGCAGGCCTCCTCCTCCTCCAGGGTTGGCAGGTAGGCTGGGCGCGCCGCGGCCTTGCGCCTACTTCCGCTTCTCTGCAGCTGGGGAGCGCCCCGGGCGGAGAGGGCGGAGAGAGCTGGGCGCGGGGCGGGCCTCGGCGCCTGGGCGGTGTGACCTTCCCGGGCGTCCAGGGAAGCTGCGAGAACCGCCACTCACGTGCCACGGGACCCGCGCACAGCGCGGGGATGGCCCGCCGAGGTCGCCAGAGAATCTCGGGGTCGTCGGCCTCCTTCCCGCAGTGCCTACCTGGTGGGAACTGTTGTCCTCCTTTGCCCCCAGGTCGTGTCATTTGGCCGCGGGGTTCCGAGCCGCCAGGGCGGCAGCGCTGGGCAGCACGGAGCCGCTTCTGAACGGAGACTTGCAGGCTGCCAGACAGTGGGCGGCTGGGCAGACGCGGCGAGCGTTCAGGGCCGGCCAGAGAAAGTTGGAAGTCTCTCCCTAACCTGTTCCTTGCGAGGCCGGGTAGGAGGCGCGCCTGGCCCGGCTCCTTGGCGGTAAAACTGGTCGCATCCCGGCGCCCTAAAGCCCGGGCTCTGGGGACTGGATGGCGAGCTGGCCGGCAGCTCCTACCGCCCCAGCTTTAACCAGAAGCTGGGATCTTCCCGCAGCAGTTCGTGTTTCCTGGTGGAAAATGCAGCCTCATCTGACTCCCCCATCCAAAAAGTTTATTTCCCCAAGGATCGAGAAGGATGGTGGTCAGCGCTGCTGTTCCTCAGTTGAACCCTGGTGTAGTCTGAGAGGGATCAAAGGGGCTAAAAAGAGTTTTTCTATTCCGAGTGCTACAGCAAGCTCATACATCAGTTCTAATTCATGCTGAACAGTCTTGCTTCCTCCAAGCCCTGTGTCTTCTCCCAGCTAGAGCTACACATAATCTGAATTAACCTGTTAACTACCCAATCCTGAGTGAATCTGTTAGTGCCCACCATTGTTTTCTATCTGAATAATTCTACAAGTGGTTATTTGTAGAATTTAATGTGTTTAAGTTTGGCTCACCTAACGGGGTTCAATTCACTTGGGCAGATAGAATGCAATGTGATGTCTTTCTTTCCTTCCAAGTTACAAAGGAAGTGGCTGCGCCAAAAGAAAGCAACGCATTGAGGTTTATCTGGGAGGCCACACTGGACATGCTCTGTCTTCTCAGTTGCCTTCGTTTTTTTCTTCCTCCTTTTTGCCTCCTTTTTTTTTTCTAAAATGCAGGACTGGGTGTTTCGTGATGTTTCTGCCCAGGTTGGAATACTCAGATAAAGTACTGGTTTGTAGGCACAGACCTGAAGGACAGGACTGAACTGGCTCCTCTGTCCCTGACTAGTTGTGTGGCCTAGGAGACCCTGTCTTGCTCTGGCCTTAGTTTGCTTTCTGGAAAAGGATTAGGACCCTGATATACTTTTTAAAGAAGATATCAGATGGCCATTACCTTTTCAACCTAGTAAATGGTCCTGTCTCTCCAGGTCTATCAACAGCATATAAATCAGTGTCTTGCACTTGTAACTTAGTTGCTTTGTTAAGTACTGTGCCTTTGTTGCCAGTGGTTTTCATTTTTTTTGTAAGTTAAGGAAGATTCTTTCAGTCCCGTCATCAGCAAAATGCTTCAAGTGGTTAAAAAATCTTCTTGGTGGCCAATGTTTTCTGTTGACGTTCAGGATGACATTGGTGTTAGGAAGTCACTTGGTGTTCATCTCTGATCCAGCACGACTGGGGTCACACGGCTCCTCAGTGCGATGAGGAATAAATTGTTCCTTATTATTCACAAAGAAGTTACTTACACAGTTTGAAAAGTAAGTATACAGTACTGGTTGTTGAATTGGATCTTTTAGTCAACATTTATGAAGCCCATGCCTCAGCAGTAGTTGACTTTTGTCAATAAATTCCAGTTTTCCCAAACGCCCAAGGCTCCAACCCAAACATACTGAATCAAGATTTCCAGAAGACCCGATAATTAGAATATTTAATGCGTGTCCAGGCCAGGCAAGGTGGCTCACACTTGCAATATCAGCACTTTGGGAGGCTGAGATGGGCAGATCACTGAAGGTCAGGAGTTCAAGACCAGCCTGGCCAACATGGTGAAACTCCATCTCTACTATAAATAGAAAAATTAGCCTGGTGCAGTGGCATGCACCTGTAATCTCAGCTACTTGGGACGCTGAGGCAGGAGAATCATTTGAACCCAGGAGGTGGCAGTTGCAGTGAGCCAAGATCGTGGCTGCTGCACTCCAGCCTGGGCGACAGTGCCAGACTCCATCTCAAAAAAAGAAAAAGGTGGGGGGGGAAGGGCACTTCAGGTTATGAAGCAAATTTGGACACAAAGACCCAGGTGTTGTATTTCAGAGTGTGAGTCTGTGGACTGGCATTGTCCACCTCACTTGGGAGCTCATCAAGACAGGCCAAATCTCTGGTCCCATCCGAGGCTATTGAATCAGAAGCTGCATTTTATTTAGCAAGGCCCCCAGGCGACTCCTGTGCACGTTGACAGTTGAAGGGCTAGTGGATTGTGGTGATAGGAAGATGTTTGGTGCTCTGTGCCGGGCCTTGTTCTATCGCTTGTGCACAGTGGAGCATCCCATCAGTTTCATGTGGCTGTTTGTGAATGCCTTTGTTTTGTAATATTGTTATTATTTGCCTTGTACAGATGAGGACTTGCAGGTGTAGAGGCCAAAGGGGCCACAGGTAGAGCAGGCATTCACACCAAGGCGTGTGTGATTCCAGGGTGCAGCTCTCACCCTTGGCTGCCTGAGTGTTCCTCTCCAGACCTACTGTCTTGTGACATCCCCTTAGGCACCCAGCACTGGCTGCTGTCTGCATTTAGAACTGAGCCTATTCAATTGATAGCTCAACTTAGGCCTCTAAAAAAAGAGTCTGCTGTGGTTGGTACAACTGTGGTTGGCTTGCTTGTTTGGTGTTCATTTTTACAGTTTTCAGAAAGTTGGTTGAAGTGCTGCTGGTGGCCATAGCATTGATATGCAGGGAAGCTTTTTGATCTGTGAGCTTTCTAGGGGGCAGTCAATTGCTAAGCTGCACTGATACCTGGAGCCCCTTTCCTTTGGAGCAATGTGGAGCCCAGTTCATGGATCCCAGAAGTTTGGGTTCAGTAATTTGGCTGCAGGCCTAGAGAACGGGAGGCTGCAGAGACCTGGACTAATAATGGTGAACTCTTGCCTCCCCCAGGGACATGTGGTGCCTGTCGTAAGGTCCAGAGAGCTGCCTTCCACGAGACCAGCAGAAGAGCGGGGAAACATGAAGTCCAGTGCTGCCATCCAGGTCGCCATTGACCTCACAGCGGGGGCTGCAGGTACAGTCATGCGCTACCTCACCATGTTTCTGTCGGTGATGGACGATGTATGTGGTCATGGTCCCATGAGATAATACCACCGTATTTTTACTACACCTTTTCTGTGTTTAGATATGTTTAGATACACAAATACTTACCATGGTGTTACAGTTGCCTCCAGTATTCAGCACAGTAACATGCTGCACAGGAGCGTGGCCTCGGAGCAATGGGCCATACCGTGCAGCCCAGGTGGGGAGTAGGCTGTGCCATCTAGGGTCGTGTGTGTATGCTCTGTGATATCACAATGGCAAAATTGTGTAACGACGCATTTTTCAGAACACGTCCCAGTCACTAAGTGATGCCTAACAATAATCCCAGAGAAAACCCAGTCCTCTCTATTCCTCAAGCACCTTCTAAATGAGATCAAATGAAAGAAGCATGAAAATACTACCTTTCATCCGGGCGCAGTGGCTCACGCCTGTAATCCCAGCACTTTGGGAGGCCGAGGCAGGTGGATCACTTGCAGTCAGGAGTTCAAAACCAGTCTGGCCAACATGGTGAAACCCCGTTTCTACTGAAAAATACTAAAAGTTAGCCGGGCATGGTGGCGGGCACCTGTAATCCCAGCTACTTGGGAGACTGAGGCAGGAGAATTGCTTGAACTTGGGAGACAGAGGTTGCAGTGAACTGAGATTGGGCCATTGCAGTCCAGCCTGGGGCAACAGAGCAAGACTTAATCTCAAAAAAAAAAAAAAAAAAAAAATGATATTACCTTTCTCCTTCCAGAAGCAATGTGCTTTACCTTTGGGATGAATCCATCTGATGGATGGTGTAGTGTTGTTCAAAGCATGGCAGAAGACAGAGCAGTGTCCATTATTGTCAACACCTTGTGAGTCAGGGTGAGGGGTGGAATGTGCCCAGTACCGCTGGAAAACAGCTCAGAGATGAAGCCCCTTTTCCACTGTCACCTAGCTGGGATAGGCAGGTAATATGGTTCTTCACTTCAAGCCTGGCAGTCTTCAGAATCCTTGTAGTAGTGCAAAAATAATACCACACGGTCCCTCCCAGGAAACACCACTTACTGTCCTTACTAGTGTTGGGAAAGAAAGGACACTCTTAGAAATGTCTTTAAAAATGAGACTGATAATGGACTGTGTCTTAGATCCATGAAAGGAAAGGAGAAGTTGTAGGATTTGCTGGGAATGTCAGCTAACCTGAGCCTAGGGGCCTCAGGCCAAGGGCAGGCTGAAGCTCCCTTGGCACAGGAAGGTGCTGCCTGGGATAAGGGGGGCAGAGCTAGCACCGTGCAAGCTACTCCTTAGAAAGATCAGCCTGAATATGCAGGAAGAGCAGGACCCTCGGCTGAGGCACATGGCAGAAAGGGAAGTGCATGGTGGTAATTTAGTTCTCCAGAGTCTTGGTGTCTTGGGACCAGGAGGCACGGTTGGAATGCTGATTGCCCAAAGGGAAACCCTGGACTACTCTGGCCTCCCACAGGATTCCCATAGTGGTTGCAGCTCCCTGGACTGGGGAGGCCAGAGGGGGCGTTGCCCAATGCTCTCCTTATCCAGGACACCCCCTACCCACCACCACCAACATGAGTATGGTCATGAGTGTGGTCACCTCTCATGCAGTCATTTGCACAACTGTGGAAAAGAAGTTGTTGTTCAGAGAAGAGCAAAGAGTTTTTCTATGAGTCAAAGGTTGGCCAAGGTATGCCAATGAGGAGGACTGGAGAGAATACCTCACAAACACTGATAAGGAGCACTGGGAAGGGCACTTCTCCCAGGACAGAGCTCACAAAGAGAGTCCTCGCCCCAGAAGCAGGAGAACGGAAAGCTGGTGGGGGTCTGCCTGGTAGTCTCTTGCCCACTGCGTGCCTTTAGGCTGCAGCCTCCCAGGCGCCGTGCACCATCTTCTCCCCCACGCCGCACTGGGGAGGAGGCTGACGCTGAGAATGGTGGAACCATCTGCCTGCCCCGGTGCAACCATCTGCCTGCCCCAGGTGCCTCTCACCAGCAGGTGAATGCTGTTGGGCTCAGTTCTGTCTCTGCAATAGGAGGATGTTTAGCCACATGAGAGCGTCTCACCTTTTGACATTTTACATCCTTCAGTCAGTCTATCAAAGATCTAGAATTTATTGTGATAGAATTTAAAAAGTTTACCTTTTCCTACTTATGGGCATACAGGTATTTGGGTGCCATCTTTATAATTTACAGTTAGTTTGAAAGATAGAAATTGCAACTGTACGGCTGGGAGCCTGATATGTAAGGCATTTGCCAGTGGGCATGTTTTGAACATGTATTGGGCCCTTATACGTACTGACACTTAACTGTTCCCATCACCACTGGACAGGTATTTGTCCCTGTGCTGGCGACACAGGCACGCCCCTCACCGAGGTAGAGCTGCCACGGGTAGTCCAACTCCTGAGCACAACTAACCCCTTTGCTGGCGGGGTGGGATGGGGAGTAGGAACAAGACGCGAGAGGGGCTGGGCAGAGGAGGTGCCCATTAGTGACACAGAAACCTCAATTCTATTGTGAGGCCCGTGGAATGCAAATGGAAAGTAGGACTCCCACTTACGAGATCTTGTAGAAGAGAGGCCCAGAGAGGGGCAGTAGATTTGTTCAAGGTTACACAGCTAGATGGTGTGAAGACAGGGCAGGACCGTGGTCCCTGGGTCCCTTGTCTGATGTTGCCGTCTCTGCGTTAGTGCTCCCTAATGGGTCTGCAGTGTACCCAGATGTGAGGGTTAGTTTGGAGCATTTGCCACCCTGGCTCTCTGGATGTTGAACTTGCTGGGCTTTGGGATTTTTCTATCCACCATTGATAGGAGAAGACTGTTGTAGTGTTTTGTGGCAGAGGCCACCCATGGAAGTGATTGACTGGAAGCACAGAGCCAGCTGCAGCCCGAGGTGATGTGGATGGAGCCTAAATGCGTTGTTCTATGTGTCTCTCCTTTTCCTTTTAAACGAAGTTTCCCTCATCACACAGGTTTTCAGCCAGCTCATCTATTCTCAAGTGCTGGGAAGTTCTTATTTCCCTATCTGCAGTGGCTGTAAGAGATCTAGAGCCCTAGAGAGCTAGGATGAAGGAGGATTTGAAGAAGTTATTTAGGTAATTAGATAATTATTGAAATGAGGCAACATGGATCCCAAAAGTTAGTCTTAAAAGGAAACTTGGTACCACTAACTAAGAGTTAGTCATTCAACAACTCTAAAACAATGCAGTCACTACTTTGACTACTGTTGCAGTGTACCTTGTTTGGCATAGTTGGGGAATGTGGCATTTCAAATCATTGAAGTTTTTCCCCTCAAATGCCAAAATTAAAAACAACCCCAAACCTTTTTTGATTGGAGTTTCTTGAAAATGATATGCTTCCCTGCCCTGTTAAACTGAACCTTTACGGATGGCCTTCAGAGGGGTGCGAGGTCTCACCTCTGCTTGGGTGGGCCTGGTTCTGTGACGTGAGTCTGCTTTTCTCTTCTCACCTCTCTGCCCTCTTCTTCAGAGCTGTCCCTTCCCTGAGACACTGTCCCTGCCCTGATGATTTCCTCTATTTCTCATGATTTACCGACTCTATGTCAAGGACTGAAAATCCAAACCACCACCCTTGGTAAAGTGTTAGGTATGACATAGTGTGAGTGCCCCTCCTGTGGAGTAAGAGGCTTGGCTGGCCACCACACCGCCTAAAGAACGTTTTTATGTGTCTTGTTGCTTAAAAAATCAGAAGTCTGATCTTATTCTAGGCAAGTGCAGAAATATAATCTCTGTCCTTTATTCATGGCTTTATGGACTTGATAGATCTCTGAGAACCGACTAGGTGTCAGGCTCTGTGGTTGGTACTGGCGTTCAGAACAGTCTTCACTCACTATAGGGCACAGTGAGTACCACGATGATGTCGTCAGTGGTAAATTACATGGGAAGGCAGCTTACCCTCACAGAGGACGGGAGAGAGTTGTTGCTGGCATTTGTATATTCATTAGCCTCCCACATCCTCCCAGTTGGAAATGTCATTCTCCCAGATATACAGCAAATGGGTATTGTAGGAACCTGTGATGCCCGAACTGTTCAGGATGATCACATTAAAATATTAATGTGCTGAGTTAAATGCTTTATTCAGTTTATCTGCATCTAGGTTATCTAAATTACGTACCCACTTAAAAAATTCTGACAGTCACCCCTTCTTTTGGAATAATTAAATTATTTTGATGTAATTCAGATCTCATTTTATTGTAGCCCAGCAGTACCTGGGAGAGAATGACTCTAAATTTATCATCGTAAAATCATATTAAATTATATTTCACTCTAATTCAGAAATAGGGATAATTTGACAATTAAAGGCAGAAGTGTGTTATTCCTCTCCTGGAAGAAATGAACAGTAATGATGGGATCACAGAGATTGTATTGCTTGTTGCTTAAAAAAGAGATCAAGCGGTTTTCAGACTCTTTGGAAAAGTTGGTTTATCTGCCAAGAAATAATTGAGAATTGTTCGTAATGGCCCCTCTCCCCACTCCACTTTTCAGACTTTCGATGGAATAACTATGTGTAATGTCAAAGTCAGGAAGCTGCACTTTTTAAAACTATACTTTAAGTTCTGGGGTACATGTGCAGAACGTGAAGTTTTGTTATATAGGTGTACACATGCCATGGTGGTTTGCTGCACCCCTCAACCTGTCATTTACATTACGTATTTTTCCTAATGTTATCCCTCCCCAGCCCCTCACCCCCTAACAGGCCCTGGTGTGTGATGTTCCTCTACATATGTCCACGTGTTCTCATTGTTCAACTCCCACCTATGAGTGAGAACATGTGGTGTTTGGTTTTCTGATCTTGTGACAGTTTGATGAGAATGACGGTTTCCAGCTTCATCCATGTCCCTGCAAAGGACATAAATTCATCCTTTTTAACGGCTGCATAGTATTCCATAGTATATATGTGCCACATTTTCTTTATCCAGTCTATTATTGATGGACATTTGGGTTGGTTCCAAGTCTTTGGTATTGTGAATAGTGCCACTGTGCATGTAT